AAATTCTGAACATAAATTATTTGATAACTGACCCAAATTTACCAGAGGATGAACGTTTACCGGACGCGAACTGGGTTCAGTTTAGTGTCAAATAATACTTAACTTTATCCACTCTGAGTATTTCGTGCAAATGGTCGTGAATTTATTAGCATTATGTATTTGTGGATAGCTTATTCTTGTTTCTTATAGCTTGGAGTGACGAATATTCAATGATTTTCAACATCTGCAACTTTATAAATTTACTTCAATGTCACAGTGGAAGAAGGTGCAGTAACGATTCCGTGCGTGTTAAAAAGATAAGAGAAGCACACGCATGTTGCATCGTTTCGTTGCATTGTGATGTGCTGCATGGCGTAGCGGTCCTTAAAAAAAATACGGAAAAGAAAAACCGGGACGCCATTGCTATTGCTTCAGCTTCAGTGTTGCACGAGTGTTGAGAGTGTGTGGATGTCGGCGATCGTCGGTCACATCGGCAGCTGCTGGATTACTAGAATCACGGATAAGAGATTTGTTGCACGCTTCCGTTCACAGCTTTGCTCTGTCTAGTCAGAGTTTATTACTATGTCATCTATTCATTAGCTTTGATGTGGGCAATTTTTTAGGTGTTTGTTGAGAAAGAATTCAGGAGTCTAAGATCTCGATAACCTTAGTTAAAACCGACTTAACCGAGTTGTTATCCACTGTTGGTAAACTAACCGCTTTCGTGACTAGGTAGCCTATGTCTTCGTGAATCTTGAGGAGTGAAGAAACTATTTGAAGATTTGAAGCAGTTTTTTTTGTGATTAGGTCCATGCGTGCTGATATCCGTAATTTTTTTTTTCAAATAAATTGAATGGAACTCTGAATCTTTTCCGCTGTTGAGAAGTCGTAGTACCCGGTTCAAATATACAATCAACAATTTTTCCTTGTATCATTTGTGATGGTCTAAAAACTAAATCTAAACTGAAATGCCATCTTCGCCGTCATTTGGGAAGTTGGGATTTGGGAAGATATTAAAAGTTTTCGTCTAATCTAGGCCTACATAATTATGTCTATGTGTGACGTGTTATGTCTTTGCCGTGCACTTGCTTGAATTTTGAATCTTAATCAGTAAATGGGTAGCCAGGGTAGGTAGGTAGGACGATTGTCCCACTTGTTTCACTCCATAAACTTTTCAACTCGTTTACGTAATCAGCCAAATTCGGGGTTCAGAAGTGCCGAGGGCCCGAGGCACTCCTGGCTGACTGCACTACTGAAAGGGGGTTGAGTGGAGGGGCCGACGTTGTTCCTATCGATTGGCCCGGTTTGTGACATAGATCATAGGTGACGTTCCTACGGCAACTTGATATTTTTGCTGTAAATTGAATGGTCCAAGATGAATATAGTTCAGTTTTTCCCAAACTGTGGTACATTGATTGCTCGCTAGTTATAACTATTAACGGTATAGGCGATGACATTCCAGAATCCATTCTCAGGTGGTGTGCTACTTGAAGTTTCGGAGTCACGATCGATTTTAAGCTTAGGTTAGGTATTATTACATAAACGTTTGTTATGTATCATTTTCTACATTAAACGTTCATTAACGAACAAACTCATGATAGTGTTGTGAAGTTCATCACTGTTACTCGCTTCCTACATCGCCATACGGTCTTATCGTGCCACTTTTTATTCATACATTACGCTTGATCGCTAATTATTAGCACGCTGAATAAAATGATAAGCTACTGGATTACTACTGACGCTACTCAGCATGCAATAATTATATATCGTTATTCTGCTTTTCGTTATATATCTATCCAGTAATTGTTAACGTATAAGCTTCTCTACTATTTCGCTTTATGCAATTCTAATATTTTCCATGAAAGTTCTACAGCAACAAATGTCATCACATGATGCATAGAATTGAGTCCTAATATCGTTTTAAAGTTGTACTCGTTGATCATATATATCGTGTGTTGCCCGGATTCTTATCAGCTACGTTATCTCGGCACACCTCGTTGTTTTGATCATTGCTTTCGGTATTGACGACTGACGAGCACGTGGCTAGTTTCGATTGTCTAGCACTTGTCGAATAAATCTAATGAGATAGCATTACTCTTTCATACTGTTGAAATTGACGATGCATCTAAATGGTATGTCACAGCCGCGTTGAGGCTGTTATCTCTTACGCAAACCTCATGAATCAACATGAACAAGTACTCATGTATCAACACAATGCAAGAATTCCGGGTCTAGGTTTCTTCCTCTCAGTTCCTACATTAATTCAGATGCGACTTTGAACATGAGGTTCTAGAATTTATTAGGCGACTTGAGAATGAGTTTGTTCTCTTGATTAAATTTAATTCAACTCCATTAACGGAATGAAAATTTGTTCAGTGGCTAGGGCGATGCGCATATTAGAAATTCTATTTTGATTGCTCTTTAAAAGTATTTTCTGCTGTTTGTTGACAATATATAAATTCCAGTAGTTGTCGATGATGAGTATGTGAGGCGGCAATCACGATCATTGGCATTCATCGCGACGCTCCGCTTACCAAATTTTCTCTATGCTAAGGCCTCCATTTATAGCAACGCTCCGCTTGTCAATTTTTCTCTTTTCCGAGACCTCCATTTATCGCGACGCTCCGTCTATACATTTTTCTCTATTCTGAGGCCATCATTTATCGCGACGCTCAAGTAATAAATTTTTATCTATACCGAGGCCTCCATTTATAGTTAGGCTCCGTTTACCAAGTTTTCTCTATTCCCAGGCCTCCATTTATTGTGACGTTGCAGGGACGGCCTTGATAGCTTGCCATGTTTTACTTCTTACCTTGACTCGTGCCCGGCATCTAAACCACTCGTGAGCTTCGATCACTCATGATTGCTGCACCATTAGCCATCCTGCTTCACGTCACGCACCAGTCATTCGAAAACAAAGTAGATTTAATGTTTCATTTGTTAGAGAAAATTAAAATTTTAGTTGTGTCTGTTGTGAGTAGAAAAGTTTTGTGGAATTCCATTGGCAACATCAACAAGGTAGCACATCATTTATAATGCATTTATTATTGTGTGGTAATGATGAACGAGGCTCTTTATATTTGCCAACTAGAGAACGAAATCTGATGGTTTTCTCCGCCTCAGTTATTTGTAGTAATTTTGTCCTGCCCATTCGTTGATGAATGATTCGATAAATCAACTGCGTCTCGTGCTTAATTTAGCGAGAGCTTCAGCTTGTTGCTAACATGCATAATAATGTAGCGTTGTGCATAGTAAGTTTACTTGTTTTATTGGTCATAAGGTGCTGTTATTTATAGAGACTACTTTCATCCCAATGTAAAATAGTGTGAAGTCAATTCTACCGGAAATGAATAGAAACCGCTTAAAACTTTATCTTGGAAGATCTCTGATCTTGTCAGTTGGGTTCGTAAGTTCGAAAATAAACTAATCTTATCATCCTGCACAGAGAAGACGACGTGAAATATTTTCATTATTATCATTTAATTTAAAAAATCGTTAATATACAAATTAAATTTATAATTATTCTCTGCATTTCGGAATGTAAACCTCCTCAGCCGAATTTATGTAAATATAAATAATCACGACGTGTTGGCGCTCATCATAATCATTTATGTAACCAGAAGTTTCACGGTATCATTATGACCTTAATTTGAATTGAAATATGACTCTGTTTACCAGCATACAAGGTCAGCTGTGAATGATGTGACCTTTCATGTGTTTATGCTGTTCGTCGAGTTTTTACTTCATCTCCTTTCACTGATGTCCAAGTTGTTTTTTAGTCATTGACCTCCTGAAACAATAATCCAGCTTCTTGATCATCCTTGACGTGAAATCGACAGCACTTTGATTTGGCCTATATGTAATATATTTCGTAACTTCTGTTTTGAAGACATGGCTTTCTTCGTCTGTTGTCCGAATGTTGGCATTGTAAATAAGCTCACACTCGAAGTTGTTCTTCTTCGCTAAGTCAAAACCTACTTATATATCATTTTAATGTTTCAGGCTGCGAAGCGTGCACGAGTTGTTTAGTTACAATTACTTTCCAAATCATTTTTTGTTTGAAACTTAACTCTCAGTCTCTCAAGAAGATAAAAAGTTGCTTCGATACATTAACATTAAGTTATATTGTATATAGTGCAGCCTTAGCGTACTCTTACTACAAGAAGTATAGTCGAAATAATTTCAGTATCCAGTTTCCATAAATTTATATGTCAACCTATAATTAATTTTCTAGTCTAATGAGTGTATCTTCATTCTTCAACAAAAAATTCCATCTCAATGTTAACTTCAGCTCACTCCAGCATAAGGCCAGTATGTATGCATTAATTCACTGCTGTTCATTCTGTCAATTGTGGGAAAATAATTGAATTGTCTAGTTTAAGGTCTCATGAGCTGAACGATTATCTTGATTATTTGAGCATTAAATTGATCGCATATGGACTCATGAGTAAAGACCAGCTCTCGATATCGAGCCGCGACATTGACCTACAATGATTTCGACGAAGTCTATAGGAGAAATTTTAAGATAGTTTCTCTAAGAGAATTTTTTCCAGAAATTTATTTATGTAAGTAATTTGCAATTGCTGCTTTACACAACCGTTAGACGAAACTCCTTACCGTTAGACGAAATTCCAGCGTATGGTATGTTTTATTTATTTGGTTTGATTTTACTCAGCTGCTCAACTTCTAGAAATTTTGGTCTCCGCCTGCTTATATAACATTCTTTATCAGACCCAGATTAGAACATCCTTCTACATGGCGATAATTGACTTCGTGGGATTCGCTAAGAAATTAACATGAAGGTTGTTATTAATTTTACTATAACCGTATTTTACGGTAGAGATAATTTTTTTAATTTTTTTATGTTGCAGATTGTTTATTTAGATTTGCACAATGCAGATGCATATGTATTTGTATATATATATGGATTTCATAGAAATAGAGTAAATATCCATATTAAGTTTGTTGAAAATGTATAAAAAAAATAACAACAAAATAATAAAATATAATGAAGACAAGAATTAACTTTTTATGCACCTGGGTTAAATTTTATGCAAAATACACCTAAAGTTAAGAATAAAATAGATGTAAATATTCTCTGTGAACAATTCAAAGATGAACTATTGAAAGGTTCCTAAATTTTGTGGAGTGACTTTATTTTTTGGATTCAGTTAAAATGTTGGAAAACTGCTTTTCGGTGAAAGGTCGTGCATACCTCGTCCAACTTGATCACACAGGCCTTTCGTGGCACCTTGCTGACTCAACTCTAGGTGAGTGCGTAGAAATTATATCTAGTTAAATATTTCTGCTTCTCGATGAGACGTGCGACATGAATGGCGATGAATATTTTTGCTTTTAGATCTAACATTTGTTGAAGCTATGTCCGCACTTGACGCTAATACACAGTATGTTTTTGAAATGGCGTTACGAGTATCAGTATCACTGATCACTCAACGGCAATCGGCCTTCCGTTCCATTTGCGTACGATATTCTGTAAATATTACATTGGAAATATTAAAACAACTCTCGAAAATTAGTACAATAACTTAATTAACGCTGATCAACTTTATCTTTTCCTCTATTTGACAACTGTTTAGAATTATTGGACAATTAATAATTATTTTATGAATAATTTTTTGATCAGACCTCTGAATGTGTGGGGATCAGTGGTGAATAGTCTGATAATTATTTAATTATTTTTATATCTTGAATTAAATCGCGAATGAGATTTAGAATGGTTCGGATAACCTATAAGGTTTAGTTGATATAAAATTATTTTAAATGCTTCTGTCCCGATTTTTGTTTTCAGATGTATATCACGTGCCGGCACACCAGTTGCTGAGCTGCTGGAACTGCGTCAAGGGGTGTGTGGATTGCTGCCCTTCTCTAGCGGATGTCTTTCATCCGACTTCGAATGAGAGCAAAACTTATTCCGAACCGTCAACAACTGACTTGCTCAACAACCATGAACAACACCCCACTGTTACTTCATACGCTGCGGTCTCAGCCACAGATGTGGATGTATTCGTTACTAAAAACGGCCACGCCATCACAAACGCATCTCCTAAACAAATTTTTCCAAAAAGTGGGCAGATAGGGCCTATTCCTAGCCCCAAAACTTCGATCGCCTTCGAAGAAAATGCCCCTGACCTTTCATCTAAGCGTCCTCGACTGCGAGCTCAAATAAAGAACTTGTCTTTGATATCGTGTAAGCATTCTAAAAAAGACAAACATGCGCTAGCTATCGAAATATGTGAACGTGTGCTGCCGTCTTCTAGTATTCGGTGCGGCTCTGGCAGTGCGAGTGAAGTCGTACGAGATTGGCAAACCCGGGTAATTGTCTTCAATCACGACTACAGAGATGTTGTCTTGACCTGGTACAGAGCGCTGTGGAAAATTATATTGGGTAAGATTATTAAGCTATTTATCTTCCTAAATTCAGAGTGCAATTCAGGTACTTTTGTTCCTTTTTGTCTTATTTGTTGAAGTCGTAGAACTAAATTATACTACTAAACTAAATAAAAATTTAGTTTAGTAGTATAATACTAAATTTCATTAATTATTCGCGGTAAACTAGAGGTGAACGTCATATCTGACAACGCTGCATCGTTCATATGACTTGACAAAATTTGGACGGCAAAAGAAAAGCTGCCGTTCTTTAAATAAATATATTGAGTTTGAATTCACGTTTGTAACAGTTAACATTCAAGCTGTTCTGTGAAGCTTTTTCTATGAGTCTATTTTGGGATCCGACGCTCCTTCACTTGAATTGCTAGCCTGTGCATTGTGAAATATACCTGTGATGACTGACCATGACTTTCGTTTTCTATGTCTGGCTAGTCACGCATCTTCTGGTTGTGTTAGCTTCCATAGAGTCGTGCGCTTAGAAAAACTGTTGGATGTCATTCATGTTCAGTTAGAAGATTTTTTCTTAATTTCGTCGAGAGCAAGTTTCATTGATTGTATTATTGCCTTTGGCCAGGTAATTTCAAGGTCTCAAGTGTCATATTTAACATAACGTGGTGTTGTCTAAATGGTTTTCGAAGTTCTGTCCTGCCACTCATGCGCGAATTATTGTTGGATTTTTACGAGCAAGGCTCTGCGTGAAAGTTCGTTGGGTTTCTATGGTTTCTCTTTCACGCCAGTTACTGGTTTGAAGTATGGATGACTCTCTCTTCTAGCCTACCTTATGGCAGTCGCTTGCTGAAATGATGGTTTCACTGGAAAGTCTGTCTCGCCCTAGACACAGTAAAAATGTTTTAAATTTTTTTCGAATACTTATACTGTATGTAACGAATGGAATTAATAAAATAGATCCCTGAATTTTCCGCAATTATTTCTGTGCTCTCATTCTCATCATCGCTTCTATACTTCATACGAAATATTCTTCTGTTGTTATGATAATTCAATTTGGTTTACGTTATATTATATTACGTTTACGTTATAAGTTTTTACTGCATTTCATCAGCTCTAGCATATTACAGTCGTCTTTTGTTATATGTTACCAAATACAAGAAATGAAAAGTTTTATTGTCCACAGATGTACCGAAACGTCCTTGTCGCTTGGTGGCAATCGTAAACCCGTTTGGGGGTAAGAAAACAGGCGCCGACATCTACGCGAGACGCGTAGCCCCTTTACTACGACGTGCAGCCATCGCCGTAACTGTGGCCATGGTAATTAATATATTTGAGTTTCGATTCTGCTGACCTTGTTTTATCCAACTTTTATGGAGCTGTATTTCCTAGATCTTGAGGCACTCGTTGCAAGATTTTATCTGTTAAATCAGCCTTTCATTATCGAAGCAATAAATTTCTAATCTAAATTTTCATCGTAACTTGATAAGTGCTTAGTTAGCATCAGCCACTTATTCAGCACGTGTGTACGAATATATTACTTCAGGTTGAATACTAACCCTTATTATAGCCTCAAAACTTTTGTTTACTTGCGATCAATTAAAAAGAATTATTCATGAAACTTGCCCGACTCGTATTTTTTCATTTTTGTGATTAAATATTAACTTGGAAATGAACAAACCTTCATTCTGTGACGAGTGCATTTTATTGCTTCCAATGTAAGTATTGTTCTATCAATATTGCAAGAATAGTTCTTAGATGTTGAAACACGTTCTTCCTCTTGCGTTTAAATTCATATCACCTAGCTCTTTAATTGTTCTGGAGTGTGACCATAAATGTTAATTCACTTACGACTTCAGTGGTGAGACTTTTAACTCGACAGCGCACGACTTTCTATCCGCTGAGGAGTCAAGCTTGTCGAAATTAAACCTGTATACACATACTGTATGTACTCCAAGCTTTCTAACTTCGGTCGAGTTGAGACTTTTAGCTAATCATTTGTAGAATTTTCTACTAAAAAAGCTCTACATATTCTTAGTTTATTTGTTTAACTTATTTTTGAGTAAGATTTTCATAGTGAAGTTAATTTATAGAGAATTATTCGGATTCAATTTTCATCAAATAATTTACACAATTTTAAATGCAGCTTTTAGGTTTGAAGAAGTGTAATTTTTATGATACAATTTTGAGAGAATGTTGCGCATGTATGATTTTTTGAAAAAGTAAATTTGCAAGTGCTGTTGTGTATCGTTACTAAAAAGTTCTAAGTCAGGTGTTGCATTCTTGAAGAGTTTCCCAGAAAACTATCCACATTGAAAGCTTCCAAATTTGGTTAGTCAGAACCGCTAACGAGAAGGCATCCGTGAACACATTTATTACCGAAAGCCGCCATTCTTCACGCAATGGTTACTTGTTAAATCTCAATATGCTTAAAAAAATTTATTTCACAGACAACTCACCTTGGTCATGCTGAATCACTCGCTGAAGAAGCAGCCAACACACCAGATGTAGACGGGGTGGTGGTCGTGAGCGGGGACGGGGTGGTCGCCGAGGTGGCCTTGGGCTTGTTCAAATACGCCACCCACAAGCACGGTGGCAACCTTGATGACATGTCTGCTACCGTCCCCAAGTCGACTATCCGTATCGGATTCATTGCCGGTAATTCTTCCGTATTTACGTATTTAGGTGCTTCTAATTGATAGGTCAAATCATGATGAGAAATTGAAAATTAATTATTCATTAGTCGTTGGAGCACGACAAATCTTACAAGCTCCCCTGTCGTAATACTTCTCAATCGAAATCTCGTTTATATACCGGCCCAATCTCGTTTGAATTCGTGTGATGGATTCAAATTATATTTTAGTTGCAAATGAAGTGCGCATTGCGTAGGCTTTTCGTCCAGCACCGAACTGCAATGTGAGGCGGCCACACTATATGTTCACTTTCAATCTTTCGAAGCCATGCGAGAGCGGCTCAAACCGCCGTTGCTGCCTTTACTTTTAGTGTCCACACGCGTTCATTCAATATCAACATTCAAAATATGTTCGAGACGCGCGGTCTTAGTTCTCTGAACGTCGCGGTGCTCGAGTTTCAAAGTACGAAAATTTGATCCTTCAGTGTAAACACAATATTGTAAGGATAATGAACACAATATTTGACAGAAAGCGATTTATGCTGATGCCATGTAAAATTTTCGCGAAATAATAAGGGCGGAAAAAATCTCATATCGTTACATTAATGTTAACAATGTCAGTACACCCAAGCTTATCACGCGCTGCTATGAGGCAGTGACCGCCGGGCTTTCTCCTCGGTTCTTAGTGTTTATGCGTTTTTGTGTAGGGATGGTTTTCTTTGGTTTGTAATCGGTTCAATGCTATAGTTGGCGTTTGTGCTCCTGCTGCAGCAAGTCGAATTTAAGCCCACTTAATTTGAACCACATTTTGTAATGTTTTAAATAATTTGTATTTCCGGTTTCACCATCTTACCAGGTCTTAAGATAATTATTGTCTATGTCTTAAATTTTGACTGCGGCGGCAATTATTATTTGTTCATGTTGAACGCCTTTTCTTTAGAAGTTTTCCGCGACTGCCATATTTGGAGTTGATCGTGTTTATTATAAGTTTTCTTTGGCTCCTTTGGTAATACGTAAGGGTCTGTCGAGGGCGTATCCGCACTACGTCTTACATCAGGTAAGCTGTTTATTTTCGTCAACTTCGACGCGAAGTAGTAGTAGTATAATAGTTTGCTAGCGCTTCAGCTATCAAGCTATTTCGCACCGGAGGTCATAGTATAACATCGCCAGCTAGGCGGAAGGTCTCAATTATTCAGTCTCAAATTAATCATCACCCACAAGGGGCGGAAGGTCTCAATTGTCCAGCCCGCTAAATCTGGCTCGAAAGAGGCAGCGTTAGCATCTCAAACAGGCGAAGTGACAAGGAGGGACAGGTGAAAAGCAACAGAAACTAAGATACTCGAACAAGAGGTCGCTAACACGGGACGTCGGCCGCCCGCACGAGAGGGACAGAGAATCCTACCTACATAATAACTTAACCCCACAACTGAGATCAACGGTCAGACACCGCGAGTTCAGCGGTGGGGCGCTCAGGAACAATCCCCCCAGGAGCGCGAAATCCCATAGGACTTCTGACGAGCACAGACACGCGTCAGAAGTCCCCCCTGAGGGGAACTTCCGACGCGATGGTCGGTTGAAACCTTATCCGTGATATGAAATTGTACTCTAAGTAAGAAATGATTGAGCCCTACCACCTTTTTGCTTTTGACGGTTTTGTATCTTTTTAGCGCATTTTCTCATTTATGGAAAAATGCCCTTTTGTGCTAGTCATGTCAGTCTGTCTGCCTGTCCGTGACTTCATGTTTTCGTCGACGAGAAAATGCGCTCTCTGTCACTCACTGCAGTGAGTACTGAGTTACATTTTTTCAAGATTGCTAGACCCGAGACCTTCCGCCTCGCTGGCGATGTTATATTTTGACCTCCGGTGCGAAATAGCTTGATAGCTGAAGAGCTAGCAAACCATTATACTACTACTATTACTACTACTATGCGCTAGTTAACCTTGTGCCATTAATGTCCATAAATTTGTGACTAAATCTCACGTTTCCTACACAGGAGGCTCCACCAATGCCTATGCGTTCGCTTTAAACGGCAGCGACTGCCCAACTACGTCCACTTTGCAAATTATTATGGGTGGGTAATCATCATTTAGAACACTTCATCTAATAATTACTGGTGTATATACATTTAATAATTTGTATTGATGATAATAATAATTTAGTGACGGTTTCTAGTTACCTTCACTTTTCTCGCCCTTGAAATTACTTTGAACAGACTATACATATGACTATTTTTAAAATAAGAGGCACTAATTGTTTACAAACTCAATTACGATGATTTGATGACTGCTGCAGGCGCTGAGCGGTTTGTTGATATCGCCGGGGTGTACTCCGAGAATCGCTTGCTTCATCTTAGCGTAACTGCAATACATTTAGGCTTCGTGAGTCGCACAATGGAAAATAGCATTAAACTCCGAGCTCTCGGCCCCATCAGAGACGTCATTAGTGGGACCAAAGAGTTAATTCTCAACAGGTGAATTGTATTTTTGCTGATTCTTTTTTCATATTGAATTTCAATTGCCCCCACTCAATCAATGGTCGCTGTTTGATACCTATGACGATTACAAGTAATGTAGGATTAAATGCCATCCTTCTACTATGTTAATCTGAACAGGATTTTCACGCATGGTAAACGCTGTCACTGTACTTCAACTATTCATCTAACGTCAGCTTTTCTGGAACAGGTCTGACTCGTACAGCTTTCGTTTTCTTGGGAACGCCAATCAAGAGTCTTCTCCATACGATGAGGATTTTTGTCATGCTGGTTGTGTTACTTGCAATTCCGACAGCCCCGACCAAGCCGCCTCCGCTTGGATTGAGGTGAAATTTATATTGTGGTTTTAATTCTTTTCGACTATTTGCTTTATCTTCTCTTCTCATTCTTGCTTTTATTGAATAATAAGAGCATGATTTTATTCCGTCTTTGATATTTATTAAGAGCTGGTAACGTATTATTTTGGCAAGCATTGTGCGTCACTACCTCGTGCCGTATATTTATGCCTCCTCTTACAGACACAAGGCGATTATCACAGTGTAACGGCAGCACTCAACACACTTGAGTGCCGTTACTGTAAGTACGGACTCTCACCAGCGTGTCATATCGGCGATGGTACAGCTGACCTACTGCTCAATTACAAAGCCCCTCTCATTACCGTTCTCAAGCGCTTCGTCACGATGTCAAGCTTTAAGGATCATGTAAGCAGCTTGATTATGTTTGAATGTGTTTATTAAGAGTAAATTTAACCATATGACGTACTGACATATACATGAAAATTATGTCATGGTATACAAGTTGATTGAAGCTTTGTTTCATGTGCTTCTCAATTCAATTTAATGTTTCAGCTAAGGCGGAACAAGGTTGATGCGTTTCGTAGCAGTGAAATTCATTTCAAAATGGATGCATTGACTCCAATCAACTGCGACGGCGAGCTACGACACAGCGCAGAGTTTATCATGAAGTATGTACACACAAAATCTCGCGAGGTTATACAGATCCCCTTATAGTGGTTAAGAAATCTGAGTATATTTATTAATGCCGGAAGGATTGATTCTTTCGTTGAAAATCGTTGCAACAATAGAATACCAGTATAAGTAATATCAATGCCAGTTCACTTCAAATCCAGATACAGAAATCACATAATACGAAGCAACAAGAATATCTCATTCTTATTACAGAGTTCACCGCCAACGCTTGGGGGTCTTCAGCTGGGGCCGGGAACCCGTCAGTTCTATAGATTTATCCAGAGTTTCCAACAAGTTTATTTATTAATATGATTCAATTTTATTGTACTTTAGAAATATATTTTTGAATACACATATGAACAAATCCGCATACATCTTTGCTTCTCAACCTCATCGATTCTCACTTGAGTAAAAACTATTACGTTTTCAAGGGAATGTCTTATACTTAAGAGATACGTTGGCAATGTAAGATTCATGGTCGTCCTGTAATAGCTCTCATAACTTGGACATCACGTTTACGATATCCGAGGACTCGATACCCGGACACTTCAAGGATAAGTAAAAATAATATGTGATCATATCAATGTTACTTTATGTAGAATCATTTTTCAGTACCAAACCTATTGTTGTGTCTTTACAAGCCAAGCTAATCTTGTATGAATAATGAGTAACTTGGGTCGTTGATTAAATAATAAATAACTTGGTTCCCACTACCCCAGGGGAGCACGCCATAGGAGTAAATTTGTGCAATATATAAGTTTTACTACGCTATATTTTGCCTGACTATGCGAGAAATAACACGGAATGGAAGAAGAGATCCTAGTTCAGTTAAGTAGAGAGTTAACTATGACCCAGCAATTATGAAAAGACTACAGACTGGAGAGCCATTGCGTACTATTTTTGTCATTAGCATAGAATCTGAATTGGTGACCTCCGATTCCTGATGTATATTCATAGCTCCGTACCGTTTTCGTAGGTATCCCTAATTACAATGAATCGTTTACAAAAAAATAACCGTACTAAATGCCACCTTGCTGCATTATATAACAGGAATGAAAGTTTTACACAAAATTATCTACTATTGGGAAGGCAACTGAATTGATAGATAACATACTTGGTTATAAACCTATGGTGTACGCCCGCCCATTAGGGTTATGAATCGCGGAGCTCACTGGATCCGTGACACACCATTCGTACCACACGTTCTTGCTTGTGACGCACCTCCAGAAGTGTATCTCGATTATTTCGCCCGCATGTACATTGATAGGTTCCTGTAGGTTGAAATTCAGTGAGAAAAATGCATATTAAAAGCTCGTACGATTTTTTTCACTCTAAATACAAATAGGTTCAAAATTTGTGCTGACATGTTTTTGTTCAATATTAACCATGTATTAACACTGCATTGGATCAATTTGACTAGTGTCCATGTGATCAAGGAGACGGTACGAATTATTGACTCTTGAAATATTTTAGATGAAGCAAATTGGCTGGGAGCTTCATTTGGGTTAGAACTCCGACCATGAAGTTAGAAGTAATATATACACTTGTGCCCGAAATTATTCATACCCCTTCAGAAATATAATGTATTTCAATTTTAAAGAACAATAAAGATCATTTACAACTTATTATTCTAGAAAAGGTTATCATTATAATGTAAAACAAATTTAATGCTAGAAAATATTTAGAAAATAACTTTCAACAGTAATTATTTTTAATTCTGTGAGAAAGTAACTGTTCATAATTATTCGCACCCTCTTATTCCAGATCATTTATCATAATATTTGAGAACTATTAATGGAAACAGTAGTATATACTCAATAATTGTATTTCAAAATTCGGCGTTATTTAGCAGTGTAATATTTTTCTCTGCAAAGCCTGAAAATATTATTTTTTCTACAATATAGAGAAAAGCTAAAATGTTGCTAAAAGTTTGCCGATGGCAAAGAAAAAATAGCTCATAGTGATGGTCTCAGAAACAAAATTGTAAATTCCCACAAAGAAGGGCTGTGATATTAAACAATACGGTATCTAAGAAGTTTGATGTTCTTACGTCTACAATACAGAGCATTAGAAAACGTGCAATTCATTTAAACACTGTGGATAATCAGTTGGGTTGTGGAATAAAGGGAAAAATCTCCCCTAGATGTGGTAGAAACGTAATACGCTCCATTTGCAACTATCATAGGATCACTAGCAAAGAAATTCTGTCAAATTTTGATGCTTCAGGTATGGAGGTATCAAGACAAACACTGCAAAGAACAATGCGTCGTAACGGACTGGAGGGTTGTCGACCCAGGAAAACTCCTTTGTTAACAATAAAGTATGTGAAAGCACGTATTAAGTTTGATCAAAATCATGTCAATTCCCCAACCTCATTTTTCTCCAAGATGTTGTGGACAGATGAGACTAAAATAGAATTATTCGGGCATAAGGATGTTGCTTACGTTTGGAGAAAAAAGGTGAGGCTCATAATTCAAAGAACACAATCCCCACAGTTAAACATGGGGGTGGTAATCTTGTTTCTTTAGGTTTCTTTATCTGCTAGGGGACCAGGAAATGTGATTAAAGTAAACGAGATCATGGAAAAATAACAATATGTTGATATTATCAAAAATAACATCAAGCAGGATGAATAAAAACTTCTCTTGGTCCTGATTAAATTCTTCAGCAGGATTATGACCCGAAACACATATCGAAAATAGTCAATAAGTGGTTCAAGGATTCTTACATCAATGTCATGGAATGGCCTAGTCAAATTCCCGATTTCAATCCGATTGTGAATTAGTGGCGAGTACTGAAAATAGAGATGAAAAAGAGATAACCTAAAAATTTGGAAGAATTTGAACGGTATCCCTATAGGACGAATGGACAAAACTTAGCGTCATTGCATGCAGGAACCTTGTCGACCATTACCCAAAGCGTTTACAACAAGTTATAAATCGCAAAGGCCATGTTATCAACTATTGATTCAGGGTACGAATAAATTTGGTCAATAGTCAGCTTTATGCTTCCTTTGTATCTCTTTACCAAACAGAAAAATAATGTTTTTTTTGTTTCTAAATACATGTTATATGGTTCATATAAATGGTTTACATCTCCTCTGAAAATTCAGATAATTATTTTTCGGTCTATTTCTCGTAATTTGTCAAAATGACGTTAGGGTATGAATAATTTCGGGCACAAGTGTATATATAACGATTAATCGGTGTTCATGTAGATTCAGACAGATTCTTCCACGTCTTTGCAAGTATGTCTTAAAATTATGGTTACCAGCACACGATACTTCAATAGACCCAGCAAAGGATAAACAAGAAGCATCTCTCATTCGACAAAAAGGTCTTAGTAATAGATCAAGACAAACCTATCAAGTTGTTACGAATGCTGCTTCTACAAGCATTCGAATCCAATAGCTGTTACTAAACATGAGACTGTTGTTGTCATGAAGCAAGTAATTTTAATTAAGCATAAATATACTAAAAACCGTATTATCATTACACTAAAAACCGTATTATCATATTATCAATTCATAATCTTAGCGCAACACATGTCTCACACATTTATAAATAACAGACCAGGTCATCAGTCGTTTGCCTTTTAGAGTGCAACAAAAGAAATATTGTCTACGTTACTCACTTTGATGGGAAAAAGAATAGGGAACCATGAGAACATGCCAGGCGAATGCGTCTCAGGTCGGATGCTGATCTTCACTTCTTTGTACAGCGTTGCCTCAAAATAACCTGCAATGGCGTGCATGGCGCTATCTTCCGTTACGCGGAATTGCAGAGCTTTGTGGCGTCTGTTGTCAATGTGGGCACCTGCAATGCAAAATTTCGTTAAAAAATGTCGATAGATTATTTCGGTTCACATGAACAACACCTGAAATATTACAATGATCATGACGCGAGATCATTAAAGATCATGACGTAAGATCACTTGATTTAAGCCTGCGTTTTGTCTTAATAACCAAACTTTAAGCTACTTGATACTCAACACACAACACACATCTAAATGTATACTTCAAAAACATACAGTAAATACAGGAAAAGTTGTGAATGTAAATAACTTTTACCTTCGGCAGAAATTTCTATCATCTTAAATTGTGAGATGTAAATTAGTGATAAAGGTATAGGAGTCACTACTAGGAACGTTAATTTTATTGGCACTACTCTAATTCATAACATAACCTTGCATATAAATTAACAATAATCATGTAGAAGGAGAAATGTTAATAAAAATTTGGTGAGAACAAAACGTTTAAAGGCACAAACACTCACTCCTATTGGGATGATTGAAGGTGAAAAGTTCCTGAGAAGGAGCAATCTCCCTCTTGTTGTGCAGGTAAACGACATACGGCGTCTCATAATGATGCAGGAAGTGCTTGTCCTTCTCGCGACAGCTCCGCACTTCGTTGTACAGCTTCGGGGACTGCAGCGGTGCGATGTATGAAGTGTAGCTGCTCGGAATACTGATCCCATCCGCTGCAAGTGAAACGTTTCAAGCAAAATATACATGTTATGTGCGACGATTGGCAATAAAAAATAATACAAAAATGTGAAAAAAAAACGGTAACAAATTGGCAATTTTTCTTCTTCTGGGCAGAAGCAATGGTGAATTACCAAGATAAAATGAGCGTACAAATTCCCTTCATAATTGGCAAAAATATTCTGTAAACAGAGCTTATCATTGCTAACTTAATATTAACTTTATTTCAGGGGTATTTATTAATTCTCTTCTTGCTGAAAGTACACATTGCTGATTTTTTTTCGATCACCTTTTGTAAAAATTTATTTGAAAAAAAAAAAAGACATTCAACTTGCATTTAAGAAATTTTTGAGCGCCATCAAGACACTCGGGCGACAGCTCATTGTCGCCGAAAGAACCAAGAAGTTCAGACACAAGAATGTCAGCCTCCTCAGGCGCTTGCCAGTCCCGCATGTCGCACGACACAACTGAAACCTGAGAACCACGGTTAAGTTTTACAGGGGTTTTACATTATTTGTTTTACAAATAGTGAAATGGAAAACAAAGTGCTGAGAATTGGTAAAAATGTCGGGAAAAATTTGCTCGAAATGAGGAATTAAGACACTATGTCAAATTTGATCTAATTAATAGAGAATAAATATTTTAAAAATTAAACAGATGGCTACTATGTAAACAGCTCATCGAATAACTAAAGCTCATAACGGGATAGTCTCAACGCAAACAATTTTACGTTTTTCTAAATTTCACGCAAAGATATTGAACAATATGACATTGAAGAAATTAATATCATGTAACCTAAAACTTTTGAATTAATGAATGTTTCTACACTAAAAAATTCAATATTGAACTAAAACTGTTGCGATTTTGTTAGATCAAGTCCGGGTGACTTTAAGAATGGACATCGATGTCAATAGTAACTAGAAATACAAAATATTTAACTTGAAATATATGATTTCTTAAATTAATTTTACTGATTAGGTAATTTACATGTCAGCTGATTGCTTCAGGATAGACTCAGCTCAAAAAATACTCCGTCTTAACGGTTTTTGCTAGTGTTGGTAAATCGAGAAAAAATTCGATCATTTCATGAAAATATTAGACTTTGTGCTAGCTTTTTGGCCACAAAGTTTTACTTCAATCGCTTTTAAATAATAATCAAAACCTGTCATTTCGAGTGAACTTCTTTATATTGCGTTTTCAAAGAGAGGGAACTATAACATCGAAATGTTACACCGATAAAATTTCCTTCGAGTTTTAAGAGAAGGTACTTACGTCTCAACCTTATTAAACTCTTTTCTATTTCATTTAGTTCCAAGCAGTTTTCCATGATTCGTAATAATTTTTAGAATTATACTATTCAAATACTATCCAAATTACACAATATCAACTCGGATATCAACAGCTGATGAACTACCACTCACCTTATCTCCCCACTCCATCTCCTGCCATGCATGTAGGGTTAGGACTGCGTTGGGGTTTTTCTCGACGGCGTAGAGCTTGATTTTGCGGTCAGCTTGACTGGCCGCAGTTAACGCTCGCCGCACCAGAGGACCTCGGCCAGCTCCGACCACCATCACCACCCTGCAAGTCACCAGTTGATCAAGAGGCATAAATTCTGAACGAAAAAACTACACTTAAAAATTACATGTGATCAACAATACAAATTTCCAGGACTGCAATTATTTTCAGATTTCCAGAGACACAAGGTATATTAATATTATAAAATTTTTTGGTGCAAATATGCCAGCTGAAAATTACTAAGAACTCATCCCTTAAGAAATGATGCCGAGTTTTCAATCCAACAAATGTGCATTCAACTTTCACCCAATGTCTTGTATGCCACGTCCATCAAGCTTGAAGAAAAGGCAGCATAAGTTGCTGTTTTGCGTAGAACATTTTTCAGAGTTGAAAAATTAAGGTTATATATACTTTCAAAAAAAGAAAATTGACAGCACCCTTAATATGCATATACAGAAGAAAAGCATGTGTATCCATCACTTGAAAAATAACACGGATGCGGAATACAGATTTATACTATGATACTATTCAGTTATGTTTTTCTACAACGTTTTCATTAAAAGTGATATTCACCAGGACGTCATAACAAAGTGCGTTTTCTTAAAAGTTGATGTTTAAAGTAAAAAAATTCAGTAGCTTTGGTTGTTTGGTAAAGTAACTTGCAAAGTATAATATTCTGCGAGTTTGCATCATCGGGTGCTTTGACGTGAGAAAAATCTGCATTAAAGGCACAAGTTCAGAGCAAATATGCAGAAATACTTCGGCCATTACTAACACGGTGCGTTCATCTTTGTTTTCTTCGGGGACCAAGTCTACGAGAGCATCGTAGATGGCGCGCTCGTACTCCTGGTATTTGATGGGATCTTTCTCGAACACTTCATAAGTTTGGCTTTCCAGGTTATCCATTAGCGGCTGTAGGGGACACTGCAGATAGTCTTCGTAGCCACGCACATACTGGCTCATTGCATCCTCGTTTTGCTGCTCGCTCTGTAAGTAAAAGGAAAGTTTGAAGGGTACAAAAATTATTCGGCTCGTTTTGGCCATTTTTTCACTTCCATTACGTGGGCTTATCCGATTCTGAATTAGTTAATCAACAGATGGCTAGGTATCACAAAAAAGTCGGGCCTCCACTCGAGAAATAAGTTAATTTAACAGGTGAGCAGAGGTAGCAAAAAACTTAGGTAAGGGGGTTTAGTTGTTTCTGAATTAGCCGATTAACTGATAGATGTCACTTATGATGTCGGATCTCAAGCAAACTCGATGAATATTTTAATTTTACAACTGCGCAGTGGCTGTAATAATTTCAGTTATTGTGGTTTAGTTGTTTCTAAATTAGTAAATTAACCGATAACAGCCGCAAATAGAATTGGATCGCCACAAACCCACGAAATATGTTAATTTCGCATCTGCACAGTGACTGCATTAATAGCAGGAATGTGGGTTTAGTTGTTTCGGAATCGGTTAATTAACCGATTTCTACCGCAAATGAGGAAGTCATCACCAGACTCAAAAAATATGCCAATTTCAACTTTAGCCTCTAATGGATAACCTGGAGAAATGCTAAGGCACATGTTACACCTTTTGAATAAAGTGACGAATAGAGCGTAAAAACCAAATTACAAAAGTTTGCAATATATATATATATATATATATATATATATATATATTAGTGTGCCAATGAAATTAATGGTAAAAATTATAATACAGTTTTCCCATGTTCTCATCCTCTAAAAGTTTTCCTTTTCACCTTAGTACAAAGCAAAAAAAAAAAACTTGAATGAGATATCTTAATTTTTACTGGTTGCACAAATACATCATTATTTTGTTAATAAAGCCCGTTTTGAATTATTAAGAAATGGTAAGTCAATTTGTGATATAAGCTGATCTAATTATTATTTCGAATGATTCAATATGGCTAATTTTCACTAATTCACTGAAAATTAGCTGTTGCAGGCTACATTCTTTGTTGGTAATGTGATATTGAAGTATCATTTCTGCTAGATTATTTTTCCACAAGATTCCAAGCGGAACTGATGAAGCGTAAGTAACTGTTTTTTGCAGTTAATTGATGTTTGGCAAATAAAAAAAGAATCCAGCTGACATATTCTGATGTCACTGCAAGCAACACTGCAACACTGGTACAGATATCGTAGCATTCTCCTTCTGCAAAAGAAGCTGCAGAAGCTGCCTTGAAGTTTAGCATGCAGGCAGTCATGTTCATAACTAATTATTCATACAAAATTACAAATGTTTTCAACTTGTTAATGGAATGTTCCAGTTGTCCATGTTTCAAGCTGTTTGATTGCTTCTCACAAGTATGGAGTCGGAAAAACCGGAGAGTGTAAATAATGCAAAAATTTCAGCCAACGTGAAATTAGACACTGAATTCGTTAACAATTCTTGACCATTAGACTAAAAGAAATACAAAATTTTATTTCTTTTACTCTGGGGCTGCGCAATTCAATTATTTCTCTTACAATATTCAAGTCAAAATATCTGGAGTAATTTTTAAAACTAGGTTCACGCGGAAATTGATGTCGAAGTAAACGATGCAAGCGACAGTAGGGACTATAAAGCCTCACACTGCAAACACTGAAAACAAACAATTCGCACCTGCACGATGTGATCAAGGTACTGTTGGTAGAACTTGAGGTGCGGGTGTCTGAGGTGTCCAGTTATGAGGAACTGCGAATGCAGTTTGTGCAGTTTCTTCACAAACAGCTGGTGACGCGAGGACAACACTGGAAATCCTTTCTTGTTTGTCAGCCAAATACTTGTTGGCAATACAGCGCAGCGTACCGGTTCACCCAGCCATCTAGAGAACAATGTTCATGATTTTGTCATAGCAGAAAATTTTTTGTCATTACCAAACGCACAGATTACAAATTACAATTGATGACTATCTCACTATATTTATTTGTTTAGAAATACATTTGTGCAAATATATTTTGAACTTAAAATCTATACAACTATTCATTAGGTTACTTGTGGCGGACAAGTACAAATTCAGTTAGCAAGAATAAAGAAGTTAGATTAAAAATTATGCATTTATTCTACCTCTCTAAGACTTCTTCATCAGGCAAATCAGCCCCGATCTCTAGGCACAAGCCAATCTTCTTTTCAGTATTGGCTATGGAGTGGAATCTGTAGAGAGATGACAGTGAATTGGTTAGTAATCTGAAAGTAGTCATTCCATTATGACTTCTACGCAATAACAACGTCAATAAATTGCAATGGCAAACCTATTGAGACTAAGTGAAAATTCCAGTATCTAATAACGATATTAAATAAAAAAAACATTGTTCACAGACTACATGTCTTTAGATTACAGCATTGAAATTTGTACTTGCAATCGCATACAAAAATGGCTAAGGTCACACTCAGCAAATAGAGCCTCGTTTCCAATGGTATACAATAGGAAACATGCTTAAAACATACTGCACATACTTTAAAGACTCTTCAGAGACCCTGGTTGAAGTGTTCGATTAAAAATTTGAAATAGGGTTCAAGAAGATCATATTTACCTGTTCCACCAAGTCCAGGTGTCAGTGTTGTTTGGTGCTTTAATATCGCTCCTGAAATAAGCAGCCTCGTCAGCAGGTGACACCAATGGAACACGCACCCACACCTGCCACAAATATAACATTAATTTTCGTAAGTGTGACTTAAACATAGCTAGTTTTGAAGTAAAGCATATCAGGCTTATTTTATTAATAATGAAATCAAGACAATTTTTAACATGCGGATACCGGGATACGTGAAAAAAATCTAATGCAGCATGTGAGAGGATATTATTACTGATTTGTAATTTTTCATTAAGGCAGAAATATGACTTTGGATTAGGGAAGAAAATCTGGACATCAACATTAGCAAGTTTTGATGTTTATTCAGCGAATTTTAATAAAGTTTCATGCATGATTTCAAACTTGTTGTCTGAGTTTATATAGAGCAAATGGAGAACCTTCTCTCGTCACATGTAAAGCCGTGAAAAAATATACAATAAATATCACTAAATAAGACATCAGATATGCTCAAATTTCTAAGATATGCTCATTATTAAGCACACATTTCTTACATCTAATTCGAAATATGTTTAAAAATCCTTTCAGACCAACAACAAAATTAATAAAATATAGAAAGACCCAAGTTATATCACAAAATTCTGCTTGAAACCATTCAACATAACTTTTGTATACATGATGAACATATCTGCTAAAATAAGTGCACACCAGGTAAGAGCAGCCAGCCACCACTTTGTTATGCAGAATCCTGGCAAGATTGATGCAATACTGTGACGTGATTCGTGCCATCACAACGGGAACACTCAAATGAGATGCCAGAAGAAGCTCTTGCTGAAGAGATGCCTCACTGTTGGCCACAACGTTCCTGTTGCCGCTATCACAGCCCTGACAAGCACTTGCATTTAAAGCCACTACGACCAAGTTGCTCCAATCTGAAACATTATGAAGAACAATTAATAAAGAACTGCTGGATAGCCAGTATATCAAATATGATTATAGTCAAATGGAGTAAGACGGGATTGCAGCCTTCATGGAGTAAGAAAGAACTGGCCCATGGTGTGCATTCTAATTGCACTGCATTTAAATTGATGAAAGACTCTGTTAGAGTAATCATTTTCAGTCATTCCAGTATATGTTTCAACACTATGCTGAATATAATGAATTTTTTAATACAGTACTCTACAATGAACCAAAGCAAACTTACTATAAATGCAGGCTTAACGAAGTTTTCTCATGACAAAAACTCTAATGTGACTGATATTAGAGTTGACTTCCTGCAACACAAACAGTAACAAGTGGTTGTTTCATCAAGTTCTGTGTTTCTCGATGGATAATATTGAATATCAGGTCCATTCCTTGATTGAAAATTTTGTACCATAAGAATTACAAGTTAGTCCTGTCTTACCCCAGCCTGGTCCCATCTTACCCCACTGAGGTAAGATGGGACCGGTCAATATACTGTAAACTATATCATTTTCAGAAAGTCTGAGTTGAGGTCTGGGAGCCCATTGCACCAACACACCTAGTGGTAGGTTTGGGGTTTTGCAGTCACTCATGGTATATGTGCTACAAGCTTGTTAATGATTTTTGTCCTGTATTTCCCAATCTGACTATAACAGGTAGGACAGGAAGCACATTTGGTTAGAATGCCTCACTTTTTATATTTATTGACGTTGGTATCGGAATATTAATTGTTAAAAAATGGAGCCGTTGTGCATTTTAAAATAATTTTTACAACACTTCTCTTTAACTTCACTTCTTGTTGTTTGTTTGTTTGTCTGCTACAAATCTTATAATCGATACCTATTTTACACAGTTCTACCTCTCCTATCGATCTGAAATTTTGCACACTAGTGTAAAGTTGGAGACAATGCATGAATCAATTGAAAGAATGAATAATTTTGAAGATTTAGAAAATTATATTTTTAATATTAAAAAAATTGAAAAAATAATTGTGTCTGCTACATATCTTATAGGTAATCAACATTTAACTCTGATGAGAACCTGTCCAATCAAACTGAAATTTTGCACACTTGCATAAAGTCAAAGACAATGCATGAATCAATTGACAGAATAAATAATTTTGAAAAATGTAAATTTATTTTAAATTTTAAAAATGAAATTTAAAAATTATTTTTTTTATATACTTGATAATGAAATTAAAAATTCATTGTACATGTGTAACATCAGAGACGCTGGATTCTTTGGAAGTGTTGTCTTTAAAAAGTAATTTTTAAACGCATATTATATATGGTTTCATTTATTTGCAATTGGCTTTTTAAAGCAGGGGTTTAAAAATAGAGGTTAGATATGCCACACACACAGCCCTCCGGCGGATGGCACGACACCGTCGGGGACTAGAGCCTGATACCTCTTGTAATAAATGAACATTTTTTTCCCAAAGCAATGATTATGTATACTGAATCAAATACAATGTGAAACTGCCTTCTGTTTTAGTGAAGAAATGTAAACAATGTTACCCCCACTCGGTCTGTATGTTTCAATAAGTACATTAGGATCCACACAATATGTGAAGTAAATTGTTTGTTACAATAAGTCACCAGTTCATGTTCACATATCCAGCTATTGAATTACATCCAATTTATTTGGGAAGGGTTTCCATAGAACATACCAACCGTGCTATCAGAAGCTGTGTTTGCAGAATTAGTACATGTTAGCAATAATTGATTTTCATTACTTAGAAGAGGGTAATTGCAATCAAATACTCATTTGTCATAATCTAAAGAATTAATTAGTACCAGATGTTGACAGCAGCATGTCTGATCTGGTGAAGGGACCTGGCCTGGCTGCCGCAGCTCCTGACACATGTTCTCGAACAAGGCGTGGATGAACAAGAGGTATGCTTGTGAAGTCATACCTGTGGACAATGAGACATTTTTAAAGTCATGAAAAAACTACAATTTACATAAATTTCATTTGGTGAACAGACTGAAAAATTTCATCTAGATAAGTAACTGACCTCTATGATTATTGAGAGAATAATTGTCAGTAGCATGGTGAAAGGAAGACATGTATATTTTTCAAAAGTCTCTAGCTTTGTACCAAAAATATATGGGTTATTTTCTTGTAAAGCATTGATAAAACTATGTAGACTTAAAATACCAAAAACAAAATTATTTTCTTAAAATGCTAACCTTCACTCAAAGGATTTAATAACTAAAATTATTTTGTCTACAAAATTAATTGAATGATATTATACAGAATACTTAAAAGATTAAGATTTTTAACAAAAACCCTTAAAAGATTTTATGTTACCAAAAATGCTATCAATTGGTGTTATCTCTAGCTACTACACTGATGAAAAACGAGGAAAAATATCAATAATTAATGAAGTTGAGAGCTCCAACCTCATACATTTCTGACTATAATAATAAACTATTGGTTGGGAGTACCCAAGAAATTTATAATTAAACTTTTCAGGCATAAAAATGACCACTCACCCATTTTGACTAGTTTCTTGAAGAGCATCTCGAAGCTCGTGCACATGAGCAGGCTCAAGTCCACATGATGCTCTCATGGCACACGTATTTACAGTTAAAGAACTACTAGTAACTAGTTTATAATATAATGACTAAATATAATGGATTGTTTTGGTACAAAAACTGAAAATAAAAGTGATCATGTTTAAGAAGATATACAACCTACCCAAATAATTCTACATGGTTCATAAAGTTATATATATAAAATTTGGGTTGATGTCATTGTACACGCAGTTCTGTCAGACTTGGGCAACTTGCTCCTAGCAATTATACTATGCTATACCTTCAACAAAAAGTCAAAAACCAATGCCTAATAATAATCCAAATTACCTATAAATCAGAGTGAAATCTTTTCCATTTTTAAATTAAACTGAATACTTGACAAACACCAACACAGTTAAAATGTTGGCTTATGCAGCTTCAAAAATCAAACTGTTAGATTTCATTTACATATGCAAATTCTATAAATTAATTCCGATAGGTTTCAAAAATCTTGTTACAGCTTGGAGAGTCCATTTTTAATACACAATTAGCCAATTATGGCCGAGACATAAGTTGAACTTGTATTTAAGATCCTCAAGACCTTAAGATCCCCCCTCCCCCCAGGCCCCAGCCAACATCTATCTAGAGTTCACTTAGTAAATGATTTAGGCACTCCAAGTCCCACACTCAGGAAGATGTATATAAACGGGAAAATTTCCCATGCATAAATAGTTTTTTGAAGCCCTAGGTCAGCACAGTTTGCGCAAAACAATCTAATTATATTTTCTTTGCGCAGGCGTTTGCGCAAATCACGGTCATCGATTCCACGCCGTGCAGCACTCGGCACAGGCCGCGGAGCCGTCCGACACACTTCTGATTTAGACACAGTTTTCATCTGAATGGAATGGCAACATCGTCTGTAAATTTCAAGTAATGCTGAATGATCTTCGACTCTATAATTAACCTTCATCGTTGCAATAAAAATGAAAATTTATAATTAAGATAGATTTCTTCCAGTGCCTGTGTCTTTTTATGCAATTAGCACTTATTAGCAGAGGTGGGCAGTAGCGCACTACATGTAGCAGCCGCTACGTTTTCAGTAGCGGTAGCGGCTCTACATTTAAGGCAATGTAGCGGTAGCGGTAGCGCCTGCTACATATTTAAGTAGCGATATGAGGTTTTGCCGCTACAGCACTACCGCTACATTTATAGATAAAGCCTTTAGATTTCACTTAAGGGGACCGGCTACTCTCCAACAAAATTTTTTTGTTTACAGACGGACCATTTTGAAACTTGGTACACATATGTAAAACAGAAATCTAAGACCTTTCTGTTCATGTAAATTTAAAAAAATCAAATAAAACGTGGAATTAATAGAAAACGGCAAATAAGGGGTACTCTAAAAAAGTTTATAACTTTTGCAAATCACATGCTACAATGTCGAGACACATATCATTCGATTTGTAACAACAATACCTAGCGACTGTAGAGCCCTGATTTTTCATTTTCCTCATTGTTTTTTTTTTTCACGTTCTTCCCATTTTTTTCCACATTTTTACCCCCCCCCACCTTCCTCCCCCTCCCATATTTAAGTCAAACCATGCACATATTAAAAAAAAACTTCTAGAGTCGCTAGGTATTGTTTTTACAAATTGAATTGTATGTCTCTCATTGCCATAGCTTAAAAACTGTTGGAGTAATAATTTTTTTAAGATGGCGATTTTTGGATTTTTAAATTTTTCAGGGGAGCCAAATAAAGTAAAATTCATTGAAAAACATAAGAATATGCCCAAAAAGTCTTGATATTGTAGCCCAAGCTTTCCCATTGCCAATTATTTGCATTCAAGGTACCAGCACGCGTCTTTAGATTTACACAGTTATTTTTATGTTTCTCCTTCCCTACATGGATGTCTACTTTAATCTACCAATCTCAAAAATAATCCACATATATATACAAAAAAAGACTGATTTTTACATGTATATGTGGATAATTTCTTAGATTGGTAGATTAAAGTTTACATCCATGTAGGGAAAGTATAACATAAAAATAACTGTAACTTTTACTTACTGTATCTAACCCTGGGGTAACCCATACTAGTTTGGTTAGGTTAATTGCAATAAAGTTGCATTGATATGTTTTAAAAATGTTTTATCATTAATATAAATGAGTAAATCCCAATAGCAGAACAATAAATATTTAGAGATTTCCAATAATTTTGGCCATTGTAGCGGCTAATGTAGCGCGCTAAATTTTACTGTAGCGGTAGCGCCCGCTACATTTAGAGCATGTAGCGGTAGCGGTAGCGCCGCTACATTTCCAAGTAGCACTGCCCAGCTCTGCTTATTAGTGGGGGCGTGAGCGCGTTATGGATGGTGAATGATTTGCGGTGTGGTTCTTTAATCTTGACTTTTGCAGTTCGCACAATCCCGGCCATCAATTCTAAGCCGCACAAGAGCAGTTTGTGGAGGAACAGACGCAATACTCAGTACAGTATGCCTTTAATTATCCTTCAATAATATATGATATTTCTTTATACGGAAATTTCGTGAATGAGAAATCTAGAACTTTATTTTAGAAGAATTATCTCAAAAGTCATATGGCAACACTGAACACCGTATTTTTACATTTTGTATGTTTAATAGCCGCAGTTTACGATTACCGTATGTTCCGTATCCGACAAGCGGAAGAGTCAGAAGTAACCCGGAATCCCGGACATTTCTTACATTTTATTATTGTTAGTTCGACTCGGGTAGTTGATATAAACTTTGATGACCAACAAAATATAACTTTTTAATAGGGAAACTTCATATTTATTATACTACAAGTAATGATCTTTATTTAATTATAGCCATGTTGAAATGTTTATTTTTGTGAAGCCCGCTCCTAGATCATTAATGTTTTTATATACCGTAAAATGGGGTAACTTAGACCGGCGGGGTAACTTAGACCACTTTTCGTTTTTCTAACAAAAACCCCCAAAACTCAAAAACTATTCAACATAGAAAAATTTTGTCAATGGGCATTAAAGGCCTAATACTGAGGCTACATAACACAATAAAAAGATTTAAAAAGTTTGTATATCTAATAGGTTAAAAAATTAAAAATGTTACCCATGAAAAAAAGCCATTATTTAAAGCCTGTCAGAGTACCCCCTCCAATTTTTTTATTTTTTTGGTTAAATAACTCCAGGTCTTGAAGCATTGTAGTAGAACCCTTCTAGTTACATATGTAAATGACAAATTTTAGGAAAGTGTCATAGTTTGCAAATGGGGGGCGCTGCCCCCAAATGGGGTAACTTAGACCACCTAATATCAGCCCTGATGGGGTAACATAGACCGGCTTGGAAGTTAATATAAAATTACCATATATAACATATTTTATGTTTGACAGCCTATTTATGTTTTTCCTTTATGTTTCAGACTACAGAGTCTTATATATAGTAATTTTAACTAAATTTCCAAGCCAGTCAATATTACCCCATCAGGGCTGCCACTTGGTAGTCACATTTCCCCCATTATGGGGCGGTGCCCCCCATTTGCAAACTATGATGTTTTCCTCTAATTTGTCATTTGCATAGGTAACTAGAAGAGTTCTACTACAATGCACCAAAACCTGGAGTTATTTGGAGTTATTTTACCAGAAAATATAATTGATTTTACCACCCGGTCTAAGTTACCCCAAGAGCTGGGGTAACATAGACCATCACTTTTTTTGAAAAAACATCAAAACTATGAGAGGCAGGAGCCAGCAATTTATGGTGAGTAAAGCTAGAGTATAGACCTGTATTTTGCATGTTTCAATTCAAGTTTAATTTAGCTAGTAAAAAAATGGCATCATTTATAAAAAATAAAGTGGTCTAAGTTACCCCATTTTATGGTACATCCTCATATTGTTAGGGACGCTCGCCGCTTCCATCAGATCTTAAAATGTAAAAGTTTAATAGATACAGATTTGTATGAATACTGCCATTCAATATTGTTAGCTACATTAAATTGAGGGTGGAACATGGGAAGGGCAATGATTAATTCATCTGAAGCAACCTTTACAAAATATGTGTCAAACAAGCAAACGGATGTCATGTCAACCAGAACTCGAACACCACAGCAGAAAGTATTTTATGCAGCTAATGAATTTCGCAAACTTTGCTGGAAGAGAGATTATTGAATTTTAGAAAAAAGGGCAGGATAATTCAATGAAGGGTGGTGGCAGAACTGCAATCTTGATACTCTATTGCAATTCGTGCTATGATAACCTACGTAACAATTTTCATATGATAGTTATAATTTTTGCACATTCAAAGTACACATGACATAACATAACACACCCAGATTTGGAAACCATAATTGCTCAAATGAAGCATAAATAAACGACAGACCATTGACTTATCTTGCAAATATATATATATTCATATTTTGTATCACATAGTATAATTACACTTTGTAATTATGCCATATTGACCTAATTTGTATAGTCCATTTGCGCGCATTGTTATTAGGTATTGATCGTGTTGATTTCGCCAGCCGGGAGGATGTCAGTAATGTAGTCCCAACATTGGCATGCAGGATCGTACTGTTGACGTACAGGTTCATACCCTACTTGCCGCAACCAGTCCAGTCATTCATTAGAAGGCACCGATGGCACATCTAAAGCCATGTTGCCTTCTTTAGTTCTGTAATTCATGTCCGATTGTATTGTGATCTATGAATGAATATTCATTACTATGCTGACTCTTAGAACCTGAGTCCCGAGTTGACGCGTTCGTAATCTAGTTAATTCATATCCAACCACAACACAATGCGGATACATGTTTGTGTGTACCATCAGTGTGATTACATAATTTGCTTTGCCACGCGTCCATATTTAAACCATTTTAGCTTTCTAAAAGTACGGTGCACGGCGCATTTTTTTACCGGCATAGTACGGCGCACCCCGCAGGTTGTTAAAATGACAATTTAAATTCCCGTGCACCTGGCACATCTTCCTGACCATGGACTCTAACCAAAGACCATGCTCAAAAGCACCATTCCATGATAAATACCATTATACGTTATACCAATTACCAAGCCACCCTGGGCCCCTGGCCACCCACCAGCAATGCCAAAAATTGAACTTAGCTTCTCAAGGCTAGTTAGTAG